CAACAATCTCCACATCTAACAATAGGGGATAGGTTAAATCAATTACAGCATACACACAGAATGGAATAACAAAGTATTCTATAATCACTGAAAGTTATGTTATAGAATTAAATTGGTCAACATAGAAGTGTGACACAAGCAAGTTACAAGAAATATGTCCTATGTGCTCCTATTTAAACACACACACACACACACACACACACACACACACACACTGGGGTGGATCCAGGTTTTGTGGGGCTGAAGTTTATGAGGCAGGATAGCGCAGGGACTTGCCCCGGGGAGGCTGTGCATGGATATTCAGGCTGCTCACTCTGACACCAGCTACACACACACACACACTGGGGTGGATCCAGGTTTTGTGGGGCTGAAGTTTATGAGGCAGGATAGTGCAGGGACTTGCCCCGGGGAGGCTGTGCATGGATATTCAGGCTGCTCACTCTGACACCAGCTTGCAACACCTTAACCACCCTGCCAATTAACTTGCCCTTCCTCAGAGCCTTGTGGTTTTCTGAGCAGGAAACAAAACCACAAAGTACAAAAACCTTCTCGTTCTTTGATTCTCAGAAAAGAGCTTGCTCAAGCAAAAAGGCACCCAAACCCCTTTTCCTCCCCCCTTTTCTTAAATATCCCCCCCCCTTAGTTAAGATATAGAAACACCCCGGTCCCAGAACAATGTATAAGCCCTTCCCTAAGAATTCACTGTGAGGAAATGCCCACACACCCTTCTGCATGTACTTTCGCTTTCCAATAAACTTTGAGTGTGAGTGTGACTCTGCCATGTGAACTTGAAGTTATTGCAGGTTCCTGACAGGATTTTTCCCTTGGGAAGTCCAAGAACCTATGTCTCTGACATCCATTTATACAATTTTGAGGGATTTCTTGAAGAAAGGAAATGTAAAATTATAAATACAATTTTGGTTTAAAAGGGAAATTGTATTTGTACAAGAAAAGAAATCATAGCAAACTACAACATTTAAAAAGCTGAACACAGTACTACAAACATCACAAAAATCCAGAAAGTATGACTTAAATGCCTGACACAGCTTTATACTACAGATGAGAGACCCTACAGCTTAAACTTCATTAGCATGGGAAAAAAAGAGTCGGGACAGTGATACGCAAAATGAAAACATAATACTTGGGTAACTTAAGAAAAGAATGTTTTAAAAAGCAGGAAGTCTGAATAGCTGAGAGACTATTCTTTTCCATTGTTATAAAACAAATCTTAGTCCTAAACACAGACGTGTAACCCAGTTGCCCATTGTACAATGAGCTTGCAGTTTCTGCTTAGTCAAGCTTTCCATAGGGACAGGATGGAAGACAGTTCGATGATATATGCTTTGTTTTGTTAATTTGAAATTAACAATTTTAACTGCGAACACTTGCTAATTTGAGATTTTGGGACTGTGCAAAATAAGAAGCCCACGAAGAACCTTGCTTGGACATGAGGTCCTCCACTTCTACTTATGAATTTTCTGACCTTGGGAAAGTTACTTAGCCTCAGAGAAGCTCAGCTTCCTTATCCATAAAATGGGCGGAAGAATTGGATCTACCTGAAGGGCTGATGGGGGAACTAAGCATGTTAACACCTGCAAAGCGTCTGGCATAGCACCAGGCACAGAGCTGGGATTGCTGCTTCATTTTACAGATGAAGAAACTGGAAGCAGAGAGAGGGTGAGTTGCCAGCATCACATTGCTAGTGATGCTTGGGGGCAGAAGTTAGAAAGGCGCCCAGATGTCTGCCTTCAGGTCCGTGTTCTTTTTACCATGTTGTTCCTCCTCTCAGACAGTGGTGAAGATGCACAGCTCAAGTATCTGAATCAGCAGCTATACTGTGAGAGAGTCCCGTGTCTTCTACTCAAAAGATAAAAGCAAAAAGAAACACACTAGAGTTATGCAGAGTTAAACTAAACGTAGACTTTGGTGTTGCAGAGTCCTTCAAAGCCTTCATGTTGTTGTTGTAACAATATTAATCAGGAGTGGCTAGCTGCCATAACAATCGTGCATCTCAGTTGCTTAACACAACAAACCTGCAGAACTTGATCCTGCAACGTTTCACACAGATGCTCCTGGCTGGGTCCTCTCTTGTGCAGCTCCAAGCATGACACGGAGATCTGGGCTCTGCCATGATGAGGTTCAACCCTCAGGAGTCCTTCCCTTCTGGAGGGAGGGAGCATGAAGGATTGTGTGGACACTCCACGGCCAGGCACTGGAGGATCATGTGCACACTCTCCAGCCAGGAAGTGGCCACAGAACCCTTGCTCACAACCAGTGGCCAGAGAGCATCTCGTGGTTCCATCCAGATGCAGCAGGGGCTGGAACGTTGTCCTCTCATGTGCCCATGAGCTTTGGAGAACACATAGAAATGTCTCAGTGGTGCTCCTTGACGTCTCTTAAGTGTTCCACATGCCAGATTCATGCTAGTGCTTCTCATATGGGCACCCAATGACCCCATAGGGGGTACTTTTATTATTGTCCCATTTTACAGATTTGGAAACCAAGGCTTACAGAGTATAACTTGCTCCTGATCAGAATGCTGGCATTTGGCAGAGCCAGTTCAAATCCAAGTGTTACTAACCCAGGGTTTCTCCCCTTTGACACTATTGACATGTTAGACTTGATAACTCTTTCCTGTGAGGGTGACCGGTGCATTGCAGGATGTTTTGCAACATCCCTGGCCTGTATTCCTGAGCTGCCAGCACCATTCTCCACCCCCCCACTGAGTCGTGCCAGCCAAAAACGTTCCCACATGTTGTCTCTTGGGAGATGAAATATCCTCTGTTTGAGAACCAGTACTTCACCGCCAAAGTGGGAGGGCGGGAGACAAGGCAGGTGTTGTCATTGTCAGCATGGATTTGTTGTTAGGGAGAATTGAGAACAGTGATATCAACCTCTGACCTAACCTGGAAAGGCAAGTAAGCTAAATTTTTTCTGCTTTACAATAAAGAAGACAAAGCCTGTTTATTTATTCCTTTATTCAACAGACATTTTGCTGAGCACCTACAAAATACTAAACCCTGATCCAGCCTCTGGGAATAAAACATTCCTGTCCTCACAGAGGTTATGCTGTACAGACAATAAACCAACAAGTGAAGTGTGTGCTATCTCAGGCGATAATAAAGGGGACAGGGAAAGAGTAAACAGTGAGGGGGATGGGCATAACAATGCTAGTGGAGAGTTAATTTTAAATAAGGTGGCTAGTGGGCGACCTCACTGAGAAGGTGACAATTGAGCATAACAATGCTAGTGGAGAGTTAATTTTATTTTATTTATTTTTATTTTTTTAATTTTTTTTTTGTCTTTTTTTCCGTGTCCGGCAATGGATCGCAACCCTCAGTGTCGCCCCCGCACCGGACCGGGGCCCGCAACGGGAGCGCAACCCGCGGCGTTGTCCCCACGCCCCGCTCAG